GGGAGGCTACTGGTGGAAAGAAATAGGAGGATGTAAAACATACCATATCATTGTCATCCGCCTGTCGGCTCAGGTCAAGATCTCCGGCATCTCCGGCATGAAGACCGGCAAACCCCGAAGGAGCCGAGGGTTCTGTACATTCAGATGGCTCTGCGGCCTCGAGTCCGACTGTTGGGGTCGTGGAGGCAGCGGAAAAGCCACGCTGGACGGGTGCTCTTCTTGCTTGCATTAACTTGAACCGGGGCTCCGCAGGCGCCTTCTGTTTGCCCTTGGCAAGTGATTTGGCCTTGTTCTTCTGCTTCTCGTTCTTCTCGACAAGGTGGGCGTTGCTCAGTTCGACCCAGCCGCTGTCGACGTTGGTGCCATCGATGTGGACCACTGAGATGTTAAAGCAGGTCAGTATCTTGAGACCTGAGCTTGCCAGATTCAGGCGGACGACAGAATGCTGGCTTACCTCGGTAGCCAAACCTTTTCACAATCTCTTCCGTGTCGCCATCCCCGTAAATTCTACCATCATGTCGCCGGTCATGGCACTTTGGCTTGGGGTACTTGAGGTTGAAGTGCTTGATGGCGCGCCGCCCATCACCAAAAGGGTCGCATTGGAAGTGATAGACGGACTCGCCCTGACCGCACCGGAGTATGTAGTAGCCGTGCTCCGATAGTAGCGGGTGACGGAAGATGAAATCGATTCCCTCGACGTCGACGGCGTCGACCGTTCGTGTGCCGTTCTTCAAAGACCAGAAGTCTCCAGTCAGCTCAAAGAACCTTCACGAGGCTGAAACGGAGGAGAGGGAGGGGGCTTTGTCTTTTACCGAGGTCTCTTCTGAATCGGAATGGCCAAAGGAATACATTTGGCGGCGGGACGAGACCCTGCGAGACGGGCCGCCGGCAAGAGAAGTACGCTTTTGCCTCTTGGCTGGGCCCGGGGCAAGGGCTGTATCCGGGCCGGGACTGTGTCTCCGTTTTCCTTGTCCGGCCAGCCTCAGACGGTAGGCTGTTGTTGCACGACCTGCGCGAGTGGTGTTGCGTGTCACGACACCGCGACTGTCTCCGACGTTATCGGCGCCGCCATGGTGGCTGGGAGCATAGTCTGTGTCCGACGAGATGCTGACGGTCTCAACGTCCTGAGCCGAGATGGTATGACCCGGGGTTGTAGACGGGTCTTCGACGCCGTGCTGGGCTCGGAACCCTCGGATGTAGTTGGAGAAGGCGTCGGAGGCGGCTTCTATGTGTTTTTCGGCCAGCCTCCTCTGATCGAGGCGGTTGCCACAAAGCGCTTGAGCTTGATGCTCGTCTATTGTAGTAGAGATGAAGGTGTAGATATCGGCCATTATCTCTTGTCTCTTTGTAAACGACGCATCGAGGGCACTGAGGGCAGCGGCAAGTCCCGCATCAACAACCTTCTCTTGCTCGGCGATAAATGCTTCCAGTTGTGTTTGCCAACTTCGACGAAGGTCTTTCATCCGCCTCTCTTGATTGTCTGGGTCGGCCATGCTTCAAGGAATTTCGTGATGAAGATGGTCGACGTTCCGTGGGTGGTGAATGTCAGGGCGGGAGAGCAGAAGAGGGCGAGGTTTGGTGCAGCCCCCAAGCCAATATTGCCAGTGGTAGAAGAAAAGTGAGGAATTGGATAAGAAGTGTGATAAGAAGGAGAGAAGGAGAAATAAAAGCAGAACAGCCCCAAGTGCAAGGACTATTATTTATAACTATCTTGTTAAGCGGTAAGATGAGCTGTCAAAAGATCCCTGTCCTCCTACCCGACGGTCTACCTCACCGGCTTCTTGATATCGAGGTCGATCAGTCACGGAAGTACATGTGCAACTACCATGTAGTAACTGTCTTCTCCCCTCGAGAGACACGCATTTATCAGGTCACTGTTCAAGTACTTGTGTGCCTGGAGACTGAGCCGAGGGTCTGGAAGTCTTAGGTTGCAAGGCTCTCAAGGTGGCAACGGAGCCCTGAGGCCATCTTCGCATGAAGAAACAAGAGGGTTGGTCTGGCTGCCAAGAAGGCCGCCGTGGTGCTGGCAGCGGCCGACAAGGCACACTCACTTCAAACCTGGAAGGACTTATCGCGACTGTTTTAGCTCACAACTCGGCAAGACCAATAGATTTTGATCAAGCAGCGCGTAGAGAAACAGCGCTTCTGCATGTAGACATGCGGCGAAGCAATTTGGATACCATCATACCATAGGTAAGTAGGTACCATGTTTCCAAGAACCGGCACGCGGCGAGTTGACCGACTTGCAAACCAACCTTTTCCTAGACTCAGATTCAATCTCTAGCTGAGGTCTGAGGAGGCGTTTCACAGCCTGCGGCAGGCCTCAGCCGCGTAAGGTAACTGGGGATTCTTTCACCGCAGATGGCATTCGACACTGTGCTTCACCTTTCGCCGCCACAGGCACGCATAACGTGACAGTGTCGATTAGGACAGCGTACACCGTTCGTGCTGCATGCTAAATTGCGAATTTCGTGGCGGTGCACGAATGCGTATGACAGTCCAACCCTGGTTTGTTCGTTAGCGCGGTACATGGCTATACTTATTTTATATTGAGATGGGAGAAATAGAAAAGAAGCAAGAAAAAGAATTAGAAAAAGACAAAGAAGACAAAGAAGAAAAAGAAGAAGAGGAAAAGAAAAGAAACGAAAGAAAGAGAACAAAGAGAGGAGAAAAGGAAGGAAGGAAAAAAGGAAGAAGAAGAAGAAGAGGAGGAGGTAGAATGTACTCGTCAAGTTCCACGCTAACAATCAAACCAGGGCTGGATTGTACCCGCCTGGCAAGGACTATCTTCTAGTCAAGCTATCGATCAAATCATTTTGGTTTCGACACATGTTCCTGGGGTGGCGTGTTTCGTTCTCTCCTGGCTGATCAGAGAAATAAGCGCTTGGCTCATCCTCTTTTACTGCGGTAGGCATCGAGGCTGATTCCTGGAATTAGATTGAAGGGTATCGTCGTAGCATAACATTGTGAGCCAAGATAGGCAACATACCTAAGAGCCCCCCTCCCCTCCCCCCTCCCCCGGCCCAGGTCAAGCAAATGTCCATGGTGGCATGGTACAATGCATGCACACACGCACCCGCACACCCCGTCGAACCAAAATGCCCCGTGTCCATCCTACAGTCCTCCCGACTGCCCCACATCTGGGGGTTGGTTTCCAGCCC